GAGGTAAGTACTGTAGAAGGTGAAATATTAGGAGAGCTGATTCAACCCATCTTTTTTTTTTTTTTTGGTTTTTGGAGACAGAGTTTCTCTTTGTAGCTTTGGAGCCTATCCTGGCATTCGATCTGCAGTCCAGGCTGGCCTCGAACTCACAGAGATCCACCTGCCTCTGTCTCCCGAGTGCTGGGATAAAAGGCATGGTTCACCAATGTCTGGCCATCTTTGTTTTTAATCAAAGAGAAAATATAGTTGAAAATAAACATATTAAATAATTCAACATTCTATACAGAAAAGTGAATTAACAGTAAATATTATCACACATTTCCTGGGATGATTAGAAGGCAGCAATCACGTTAACTATTATTGAACATGTGAAGCAGCAAGACCTCCCATTATTTACACTTGGGAAAGCAAAATGATTCAGGCAGATGGAAGACAATTCATTCTAATGAAACTAAGCACAGTTCCAAACACTAGCATAATTATCAAACAATACCTTAATGTAGATGTTTACATTACTTATCATAACAATTTCATGATTTTAGGAGTTGTTGAATATGTGTACTGTGGCATATACATAGAATACATTCACATTCTTTAGTAAAAATAAATCCTCTATCAATGAAGAAACAGACATAGAATAAAATTTAACAAATCTTGCGCACCAAAATTATCTATGAGTTGAATTATCATTCTTTGGCAAATAGAAAATATTGAACTGGTGGATCAAAATGGTTTATACTAATCATATTGTTCCATATGATACAGTTATGGTAGATACATGCCATTTTACATTATCAAAATCCTTAAGTGCAATCCATTTAAAATATAAGCTACCCGTAAAGTAAAAATTGGGCTTATTCTTTCTTGGATATTTATATAGAATCTACAAACTAGAAATCATTCATTTATATTGCTTTATTTTATTCTTTTACATTGTGTTGTATCTTTCCTTATCTCTAAAGATGGAGAGTTTGTAGCAAAGGTAATAGAAAAATGATACTGCGTTTTGGTGAATATTGACGCTTAAGTTTTCATCTTCATATCTTCTTTTGCCATTCATCATTGTGATAACATACAAAATGGGAACATTCCATTGTCTGACGTTTTGCAAACTGAGGTCTAGATATTTTAATATCTGTCTAAATTTATAGTCACTAATTGAAGCATTAACATTGGACTCTCTCTCCAAAATGCATCTTTAGCTATTTTTGTCACTGTGTTCAGTAACTTAATTCTTTGATTTGTCTATTCAATAACACATATACTTATTTTAAATAAAAATAGATACGTCATGAGCTAGCTTGTTTGAGCCCATTCCCTAGGTAGGGTAGGATGCCATGCTGAGGCTTAATGCATGAATGAGAGAGGGCCAGACCCTGCTCCAAACTATTGTGCCAGACTATGGCAGCCCTTACCTGTGAGGAGGAGTGGACTGTGGGTGGCCTAGGAGGAAGGTGAGAGGAGAGGGAGGAGGCAAGTGTGTGGGACAAGGGGTGAGAGGGAGAATGGTTGTTGGAATGTAAAATGAAATAAAAATAAAAATAGGTCATAATCATTGTCTTTGTGAAGTTTATAACTGGTTATATTCCCCTTAAATTTTTTTTCAGTCAAAATATATAAGATCAGGAAGTTTCCAAATAATAAATGACCTCAAAAGTAACAAATATCAGATAAATTGTCAGTTTAGATGGATGGCTATTCAGTTTATAAATCTACCAATCTGCACCATGAGAACTTTTATCTAAAACTCATTCTTATAGTCCTATGACTCCAAATTTGTTTACAAATTACGTTTTTTTAAATTTATTTATTTGTTGGTAATTTTTTATTTAAGTAATATTTTTATTTATTTTACATACTGACCTCAGTTCCCTTCAAACAAGCTCAGGTCAGCTGTCTCGGTGGATTCTCGACATCATGTCCCCGTGACTCCTACAATCCCTCCTCCCTTTCTTCACCAAGACGCTTGGAGCTCAGCCTAGTGCTTGGCTGTGGATCTCTATATCTGCTTCTATCAGGTACTGGATAGAGTTTCTCTGATTAAGGTATTCACCAATCTGATGGCCAGTTCAGGTATCCTCTCCACTATTGCTAGGAGTCCTACCTTGTCTTTTTTTTTTTTTTGTGGATTCCTAGGAGTTTCCCTGGCTCCAGGTTTATTAATAACCATTCCATAGCTTCTTCTGGCTCCATACTGCCTTTTATGTTGTTTCATGTATTCTTACACTGCAGTTTACCCATTTAGGTTTGGAATAATTATACGTACAGGTGTTGGTCGTTATGTTATTGTTGGATGGGTCTTTTGTTCCTTTTTTGTCTGTTTACTGTCTTTTGTACTGAATGGCCAAGGGTTCTGGCGGTTGGCTGCTCCTAAGTACCAATAGGGTTGTCTCAGCGGGGGTTTGTGGGAGTTTCAGTGCCTAAATTAGTACTTGTGCCTCTAGGGGCCGCTGTTCTTTCAATAGAGTAAGTTGTGCTTATATAGGGCTGCTGATGCGATGGGTGGTGGTCCAAGGGGAGGGTGGTGGGGCCTGTGGTTTTGGGTAGCATTTGTGGGTCGTAGATGTTACAGAATCCAGTGGGTGTTAGGAGTGGAAGTGCAGCCTGCCCAAAGGTCTCTAACCAATTGGCCAGCTGTTGGGGACCGTTTCAGAGCCATGGAGATCCACCATAGTTGGGGGCTAGGACCAAGCTGTCTTGGTGGGTCTGTGAGGAGGGACACAGGAAGTGCCCTGGGCCTTGGAGCCTGCAGATTGGAGCAGTGTAGCTGGGGAAGCAGTCACTCACCTCTTTTTCCAAATGGAGTTTATGGTGCTTGTATAGGCCCTGCTGGTGTTGCAGGGGATAGTTGGCCTAGGGGAAGATGATGGTTGGGTGGATTTGTGCAGCAGGTAGGTTGTAGAGGTTAGAGTAGAGTGGGTGTCTGGGGTGGTGGTAGTCTGCCTGGAGTTCTCTTACCTGTTGGCTGGCTGCTGAGGATTGCTCCAGAGCGTGAAAATCTGACAGCATGAATTGTGGACTATTGGCTACGTAGAAAATGCAATAAAGGAATAGAATTCATGAAAAGATTAATGACTACTGGATACCATAAATTACAGGATATATGAGACTGGAGTTGGAGTGGCAAAAATAAAATTTATGCATTAGACTAAAGAAGAAATGTGTCTGAGAATTACTGGAATCTGAAAACACAAATAAACAAAACCACTCCTGTGCAATATGGAATATGGCACAATTAGGAGAATCAGGCCAACAGGAACACCAGCACAAAATCCATTTGTCCCAACCCCCAGTAGAATTGATTCACAAACCACATCACATTGTGGCATAAAGGACACCTTGGGAATAAACCACTCTTCTTCCAATCTTCGTTGCAAAATAGAATAACAAAGAAATTTTTTATATAATGTCTGATAGAATAGTTATTTTTTGGCAAAATTTAATAATTTTTCCTAAATTTTATTTAAATTAAAAACAATCTTATTTTACATATCAATCCCAGTTCCTTGTCCCTCCCATCCTCCCATGTTCCCCAACAACCCCCATCCCATTCTCCTTCTGCCCCCCAGGGAGGGTGAGGTCTTCAATGGGAGATCATTAAGTTTTATGCAATAAAAATTTCTAGCTTCTTGAAGGTTTTCAGTGTTTAGCTAAATGTCATGCTTTCCCACAGAGTTTGTGGTTTCCCTTAGTGTCTCTCAAGTCATTTTAGAATTTGAGGACAATCTTAATCAAATAAAGAATGACATCTATTTATTCCAATTAAAAATGATGTTTTCTAAGTATTTTTTGTTTTATTAAGTACTCAAATAAGCTAACTTTATTGAGATTTTATGAATTTTCATTTTTAATGATTTTAATACCAATTAAGTTCTAAGGATGGGACTCCATGTTCCACCTCCCCTTATATCAACCCGGATATCAAATAGTTTAACAATGTAAAAATATAACAGTGCTTTAAAATTAAAGTTAATCCAGATTTACTTTGTAAATAACTAAACTTGACTTCATTAGAGTTATTGTTTTTCTTTCTCTCTTACATTATCATGTGAAGTAAAAAATCAGATAAAATTTGGGGGAAATATTAATGGGCATAAACAAATTAACAATATTGTTGCAGACAATGACTTTAGCAGAACACCTTGTAAAACACATAACTTTCATATGCAGCTTAATGACTTTCAAAAAGCTGACTGAGTTATTGCACATTTTATGGTTTCTAACAAAATTTTCATCCACATTTAAGTGAAAAATTGGACTTAATTGATATAACATATTTTTTTAGGGTTTGTTTGAAAGAATCTATATTTAATGTCTAATTTTAGGTTCATATAAGGCTCAAATATGCATCCTCACTTAAGAAAACATAAATTAAAAGTAGTTTGATTAAATATGCCATTTTATAACTGGAATGTTGTTCGGTGGAAACTTCTAGCCTCTTAGTGAAGGATTTTGCTGTTGTTGGTTATTTTTGTTTGTTTGTTTTGTTTTACTTATTTTTTTTGAGACAGGTTTTATTGTGTGTGTAGCCCTGGCTGCCCTGGACCTCACTATGTAGATCAAGTTGACCTCCAACTCACAGAGATCCACCCACCTCTGCCACCCAAGTGCTGGGATTAATGGCATATACCTTTACATTTGAAGAATATATCATTGTCATCATGCTCTAAAGCTAAAAAGACACAAACTTTTAAAGTGAATATGCAAAAACATACTATGTGTTTTAATGTTTATAATTTAGTACAAACCAAATAAATACATTTATAAATGCATCCTTTATTTACACTGCTGTTATCATTAAAGGTTTTATCTATAACATGTAAAAATTTTACAAGTGCTTTAAGGGAAAAGACAAACATATCATTTAAGGATATAGACAGACTTCAATGTGTGATGACACAATATGACTAGACCTAAAAAGAGGCATGCTCCTGTGTTGGTTATACTATTATTGTAGCTAAGAGGCTTCTGTGGTTATCAAATACAGGCTCTTTTTTTTTTCAGTCGTTGTCCGAACCATTTGGAGGTAAAAAAGACAAAACATCATTGAAAGTATGTCCAAATGCCCTAAGACGGTATACCCCATACATCATGACATGCATTTGATCTGGAGTCAGTCTACTGAAAGTAATGACCATGTCAGAACAGAATCCTTCTATTACATTGTTTGGGTAGTCAGTAATTGCCTCTTTAATGAACATCGTAATAGTTTTGGTATTAAATAAATTTTTTCCTTCTTCATCTTCAGCATTTTCTGCAAACACTCCTTCATTGCTCAGGCAGAATGCTAGAAGCAATTCTTCATGCATATTCCAAAATCCTTTTCTCTCTTTCGGACAATTTCTACTTTTAGTGATAAGTCTGATGAGTCTTTTCATTGATTCTATACTAAACACAATTCCCCCCTCCATAGTCACATATTCAAGGCTCATAAAACGTTCAGTGTGACCCAGATAGAAAGGCTGCGATGGATCTTTTCTTAACAAAAAATACTTTAAGTTTTCGATAACAGCAAATGTATTGGGATATGCAATAAAGAACCAGTTATATTGGTCTTTATTTTTATTAAGGGCATACAAGCAAGCTTTTTTCATCAACAACCAGCTGTCACTCGCATTCACAGCAATCGACTCAAACTCTTGAACGGGTTGAGAACTGAAGAACTCTGCTTTATCACAGTGTTTGATCCAAGTCTCCTTCACTGCTGCCAACAGATGCCTATTTTGGGTGGATGCAAGGATGATACAGTAAACCCGGAAGGTGTTACTGAGTTCCAAACGTTCAGCTTCTGATATTTTCAAAACTTCTTTCTTAGGAGCTTGCAGGTGGTGATGCTTGTGGTGGTGCATCCCGTTTTTGCGACCTAGCCTAACGTGTCCAAGCACTGTGATCAAGGCAAAGACGGTACTTCCGAGCATCACACCCTTCAAAAACGAGCTGCATTCTGAAAGCATCTTTCTGAGTCTAAAATGGCTCAGCGACAGAAACCACAGCCACCTGTGGCTTTCTGCTGGATTTCAAGCTATTCCCTTATGCTACTGACCTGGCAGCAATAGGTACAAGTGGTAAGCTCTCCTTGGTCTCCTAAGAGAAGGTGGTTATACAGGACGACTGGAGTGTTAAAAGTACGGAGAGCCTGAAGGGACAAAAGAGTTTATTTCCACACATCCATAGAGGAACCCTTCTCTGACTAGGCGACCAAATGGGCTCTGGAAAACTACCCGGGCACTTGGACTCTTTGACCCTAGCAAATAACCCTAGCTACTCTATTTATTTAGCAATAAGTAACTATAAACAATAAAACTTGACTCTCGGATGTTAGGAGTCCAACCAAGCCTGGATATTCACCTAAAATGACTAGCAAAATTATGGGGTGGGGACAGTGGTAAAGGTAAACAATCATCACCCTTGTCTTTAGAGGCACGAACATAAGCTTCACTATGATTTTTGTTATTATTTGTTTTTCATTCTCTTCACAAAATTTACGAGGAATCAAAAATAAAGTATTACTGAATAACAAAAGTGAGAGACTCAATAGATTTACTGGAAACTCGGAAGTCCATTTCTATATTCAACTAAAATAATAGAGTATGTGTGTGAGCATGTGCACACTTAATAATGTGCATGCTTTAATAGTGAGATTTTGCTTTATACATTTTCTATATTACTTCCCTTTTCATTGTTAAGCTTCGAATATCCAGGGCCCTTCACATATTCTAGTTTCTTGTTCTGACAATGAAATAAACACTCCTAGTCCTCAAGATTTTCTATATGACCAGCTGAATGTGAATTTTGCAGCTAATATGATTCATTTTTTCACCATTTACTCCTAGTTTTCTGATGAGAGCTTGTCTGGTCTTCCATGATTGTACAAACTACTCTGTGTTGTACTCATATTTTATGATATATTGATTCCTTATTAGTATATTGAACACAGATATATCCAGGCTCATATGTACCCTTGGAGGTTTATGTTTATAAGTCTCCTATTTTAGACTACAGATAGTTTATTGTTTTACCTTTGTGGCATTTAACAATTACTAAAATACTATTTATAGTAGCTATAATGATTTATTTAATATTATTTATTAATGAATAATTGTTCATTTACTTATCATGCAATCTAATAAGAATTTAACATTAAATCATTATGACATATTAGCCTAATTAAATATTTCTTTGAAAGGGTTTCTATTTTTACAAAAAAAGGAGTATGCATTTGAAGTTTTTCTTGGGGTATTGAAAGGCCTATCTAACTTTACTGAACCTAATATAGTAGGACTGGGTATGTGCCTTTAATGAAAAATGTTAAGTAAAGATTAATTTAATTAAAACATCAAAATTTTAAATAGAAAATGATTAAGCAGGACACCCTGCAATTAGTGGGATGTGCATTATTATTCTATTTGTCTTACATAGAAAAAAGAAGGTAGTTTGGAAGATGCAATAAAAACAAGTTCATAGCCATTGAAGTTATACTCCAGTTCTTCTATGTAGAGGTGAATAGCTAAACACTTTTTTATGATGTCTGATTTTCTGGATTTTCAGAAACTTGAAAAAATTTCATAAAGTTCTTTAAAATGGAGTTAAATAATGACTATATAATGTATTCAAAAGCATGTATTAAACACCTAGCACATGCTAGGACATTTATCCTTTGCTCTTTTCCTTTCCATTACACATACTTGAAATGCTTTCATGCCTGCCTAATTATACTATGCTTGAAGAGCACACAATAGCTCCCTTTCACTGAAAGAAAAATTTTCTAAACCCATGCAATGCTCTGCATAAAAACAAACAATGGAACAACACACAAACAATAAAAAAACTTCTGGCTTTATTAAATGTCAACAGATAGAAATTCATTTTCTTAACTGAATTCTCTGGGAAGAAAATTTCAGACTTTTAAAATTCAAGGTGACTTCTTGTACATCTAACCAAATACTTAACTTTTATAGAATTCTAGACACTCATTAGCTAATTTTCTTTTAACATTAACAATGTTAAAATCCACTTATCGATTTAAAATCCACTACATGGAATATTATTTAGTTTTCTTTCTACTATTTAAGCACTTACTATGAAATGAAGATACCTTAAACCATGTATGGGTAACAAACCTGCAATCCTAGCTACAAGAAGACCAAGGAAGAAAAGTGTGAGCTTACATCCTGCCAAATCAATATAAAGAGGTTTCCTCTCAAAATAAACACAGTAACAAATTAAAAGGGACACAATAGTTTTGCCAGTATGTGTGTGATGTGCCTGTTTGTGTGTATATAAGTACATTTATTTGTGAATCCTGTCAGTTGAGTTGTTTGTCTTCACTACATCTCATATATTGATGATGGTGTTTTCACTACAAGCCAGCATTGGCAACTCAGCCAAACTCATTACTTATTTTGGTCTGAAATCCTGTATCACCATCAGTAATCTTGGAATTACAGACAGGCTGCAGTACTTCTCTGGTAACTACGTGAGTGTGAGGCACATGAGCTCAGTTCCTCTTGTAACAAAATGTTTTATCTAGTCAGCCATCTATCCACTGCAAGAATTCTTTTATATACAAACATGATAGCTTAATAAAAGATATTGATTTAGAAAATTATTCTAAAAATCATTACTTTCAATGACAATTTGACTTTAAGAACTCTTTAGACAAACAGATCAATAAGTCATGTTTTGTTTGATATTTAAATATTTCCCCATAACATATTCTATTTTAAACTTGATAGCATCTCTTTTTGAATGCACAGTTCTTTTTTACTCAACCTTCCAATGTGATAGTTTTTGTCACTTAGCTAAAAAACTCTGGTTAGTTCTTCTTATTGTAATTACAGCAATCTTTAATTCATTATACATGTACTATTTGTCAGTTGAAATCCCTATTTTTAAAAAAAAAATCATTACTTTCAATGACAATTTGACTTTAAGAACTCTTTAGACAAACAGATCTAATTTTTCCCTGGTGCAAAAAGGGACTTTGAGAGCCCATCCCATATGAAGGAACAGATCAATAAGTCATGTTTTGTTTGATATTTAAATATTTCCCCATAACATATTCTATTTTAAACTTGATAGCATCTCTTTTTGAATGCACAGTTCTTTTTTACTCAACCTTCCAATGTGATAGTTTTTGTCACTTAGCTAAAAAACTCTGGTTAGTTCTTCTTATTGTAATTACAGCAATCTTTAATTCATTATACATGTACTATTTGTCAGTTGAAATCCCTATTTCCCTCCTTTTTTGAATGTCTTCACTTCAAAATTTAGTAATTCTGACTTTTTATATGAAAATTTTAATTTTTCATCCATCCATTTTACATGTACATATTAAAATTTATTTGTGACTGCCATATAACTTGGATATTTTCTTAAGTGATTCAAATATAATCTGAAATACCTCACACAAATTTCAAGACAAAGAAAGGAGTATGTAAACAGAACCCATGCACAAACACTCTTCTTATTATTGGTATTATTTCTGGTTTTTCAAAGTTCATGTCCTCATTTTGATTTATGCAAAGGAAGTCATTTATGTCTGTGTGAACCTGTTTCAGAATTTCAATGTCCATTACTATCTTTTCTTTTTTGGTAGGTTTGGTCAGGATGTTAGATACTTTGGGATAATTTATATTATGCTATAATTGGATGTGGACAGAAAGCAAATCAGCAAAACTAAGTATGTGCACAGGCTTTGCATGTGAAATATAGTCAAAGCTACCCATATTTTCTATATGAAGATTAAAAGTAGAAGAAGGTAAGATCACAAGAACCAGAAATGTGTTAGTGGGTATAGGACACCTAATTATTTGTTAAGAACAGGATTTTATTTGCAAGCACAGTTACCTAACATTAAATCATACCTGTGTATATAAATGAGTTTCTGTAAAACATTCAAGCTATTTGTTATCATTCCATTTAACCTCAATCTTTACAATCCTGAATCTTTTGCTTTGTGTAAGAAGGATGCAATCCTAAGATATCTTAAATATAACCTTTAATATGCTACAGATAGAGGTGATTGTGCAATTTTCTTTTTTTCTTTTTTTTATTATTAATTCAAGTTAGGGAACAGGCTTCTTTCACATGTAAGTCCCCAAGGCTTTTGATTACTGCTTCTATTTCATTAGGATTTATGGGTTGATTTAAACTGTTTATCTGATCTTGGTTTAATTTTGGTAAGTGATATTTATCCAGAAAACTGCCCATTTCCATTAGATTTTCGAATTTTGTGGAGTACAGGTTTTCGAAGTATGACCTAAAGATTCTCTGGATTTCCTCAGTGTCCGTTGTTATATCCCCCTTTTCATTTCTGATTTTGTTAATTAGCATGCTCTCTCTCTGCCTTTTGGTTAGTTTGGCTAGAGCTTTGTCTATCTTGTTGATCTTCTCCAAGAACCAACTCTTTGTTTCATTAATTCTATGTAATGTTTTCCTAGTTTCTACTTTATTGATTTCAGCTCTCAGGTTGCTTATTTCCTGGCATCTACTCCTCCTTTGTGAGTGTGCTTCTTTTTGCTCTACTGCTTTCAGTTGTCCTGTCAATTCTCTAATGTGACTTTTCTCCCGTTTCTTCATGTGGGCATTTAATGCTATGAACTTCCCTCTTAGCACTGCTTTCAGAGTGTCCCATTAGTTTGGGTACATTGTTTCTGCATTCCCATTAGATTCTAGGAAGTCGTTAATTTGTTTTTTTTTTATTTCTTCCTCAACCCAGGAATGGTGCAATTGGGTGTTATTCATTTTCCAAGATTTTGCAGGTTTTCTGCCATTCGTATTGTTGCTGAATTCTAGCTATAATGCATGGTGGTCTGATAAGATACAGTGGGTTATTTCAATTCTTTTGTAACTATGGAGGTTTGCTTTGTTGCCTACTATGTGGTCAATTTTAGAGAAGGTGCCATTTGGTGCTGAGAAGAAGGTATATTCTTTTGAGTTTGGATGGAATGTT